CAGGGGCAGGGACAGTGACAGAAGCACGGCTGAGACAGTGAGAGGGACAGGGGCAGGGACAGTGACAGAAGCACGGCTGAGACAGTGAGAGGGACGGGGCAGGGACAGTGACAGAAGCACGGCTGAGACAGTGAGAGGGACAAGGACGGGACAGCGCCGTCCTCCCCCGCTCTCCATGTCCCCGCCCGGCCGCCAGGGGGCAGGCAGCTCTCCAGGCACCGCTCTGTGCCCCGAGCCTGTCGCCCCCGCGCTGTCCGCACGCTGTCGGGACACGCAGTCTGCATGGTGCGTGCGGAGCGCTCTATCCGCGCCTTCCCGCATCTCTAATGGCGCGTGCGGCGCTCTGTCCCCGCGGTCGACCGGACCGGAGCATCCGCAGCACCTCCCGGGCAGCCCCGCTCGGACCGAGCCTCAGCGCACTCCCGCCCCGGTCTGGTCCCGCTTCCCGCCCCGACTCTATGGTCTGTGRGCTCTGCCCCTCTCGTCTCTATGGCGGCGGCCCCGCCCCGGGGCGGCCTGAGGCGGCCCCGCTCCTGGCCCGGCCCCGCCGCCGCCCGCGGGCTTTGGAGCCCGGCAACGCCGCTCCGAGGCGCCGGGGGGGCCGGGGAGCCGCCGAGGTGGGTCGGGGGCCGGGGTGGAGACGGCGGCCCCGGTGCCCTGCAGTCTCCGAGCTCGGACCGGGGCTCGTCCTGCCCGCAGGGCTCAGAGGCTGCGCTTGGGCTCCCTCGCAGAGGGGCGTGCTTATAACGTAATTTTTTCCTTTTGTTTTTGCCTCTTTAAAGAGTCACCGAGACGCCGGTTCCCTTGGRCAGCAGCGGCTGATGTGGAGAAGCTCCGAGCGGGGTTTTGGGCCTGGTGGGCGCAGGGAGCCGGAGGAGGAAGGAGCAGGGAAGAGCCGTGAGCAGCAGTGCAGGCGCTGCGGAGCTCCCTCCGGCAGAGCCCCTCCGGCAGAGCCCCTCCGGCAGAGCCCCCCCGGCAGAGCCCCCCCGGCAGAGCCCCGCCGGCAGAGCCCCTCCGTGATCCATTCTGCATCCCAAGCCCGGCCGGAACCTCGCTCCATCATCCCCCCAGCTCAGCCCGGCGCTCATAGGGACCCAGGTAATGACAGGCCTGAGGGTCACACAGGGAGTGCGATGCTATCGTAAGAAAAYGAAAGGCTGCAACTCGTGGGCAGAGCTATTTTCTTTCATTCCCTGAAAAAACACAGCCCCTCCCTGCCTGGGAGAGCTGAGCGCTCTTCCATGCCCAGGCAGGACCCAGAGCATCAAGTGGTTTAGCAATAGGAGTTTATTCCAGTAACTGTCCCTGTGGGGGTTCTGCCATCAGGGCTGGCTGCTTTGCTGGAAAAAAAAACCCCAGGAATTAGAGTTTGTTTCTATTCAGCTTCGTGGCCTGAAAAGACTTCGTTTGTGAGAGATGCAAACAGGAGGCTGGAATAAGGTTCTGGGAAGAGGCCTGGAGTCAGGTGGTCRGTGTGAAACGTGGGGTGAGCAGATAATTCCCTTTGCTTCCAGGAAAATGAAGTAGCTGTGAGGCTGGCAGTGCCTGGGATATCTTTATTAGCTCCTTAATTTCATTGAAATCCCATGTGGGGAAGGGCTGGAAGGGGAATCTGGTTCCTGACAGCTGAGATCTGATGGAGTTGTCTGCAGGGTGAGGGCAGAAGCTCAGCAGGGARCAGCCAGTCTGCCTTTTGTCTCTGTGGTAATTAATTGTAATTAACTGAGTCAGCTCAGGCTGTTAAACTCTGCCTGTGTCCTGTCCGAGAGGTGCTGCCATCCAGGGGGATCTGATTTGTCACCTGGGGTTRTGCTCTGGGCTCCTCTGGCTCTGGCAGAGCCCTCAAGGCAGCTCAGCCTTTCCAGAATTCCTCTTATTCTCTGTGTTCCTTCACTACAGGGAAAACTGTCAGGTTAAAGGATCCCAGAGGATCAGAAAACAAATTATTTTCCGTTACTTTGGATGGTTGTGCTACTGATATTTCCCTCTTTCTTATGGATCAGAAACCTTGGCTCTAGCCAGGTRCTTCCAGAGGTAGGAAAGGCCATTTAAGTGTGAGCAGGTGGATATTTGAGATGTTTTTAATGGAAAACTCACTATATTTTTTTCAGAGGAGCTGGACAAACAGGCTGGAGCTGCTGGAGAAGGGCAGGGAGGGCAGCRGGGTCATCCTGTGCCCGGGAGGGTTTGGCTAAGAGCTGGTGAAAGTCCCCAGATTTGTTGGATTTCGTATTTCTTTGATGCTCTCAGTACTGAAACTATCTGGTCACTCATTTTGTCAGCATTTTCTTTGCTCAGAATGGAGACTGTGGCGTTTCCTCAGAGAGGTTAAACCCAGTTTTGGTTCCTTCAGATGCTTCTTGTGAGACAAACTGCAGGGCCAGGGGGAAGATGAGCTCCCTGTGACTCCTTCCTYGCTGCTTCTTTCACAGCATCTCCTGTSCTTTCTCTCCAAAGACTGATGGGAATTCCTCAAGCCACAAGGGATTTGAGGTTTCTGCTTTTCCCTCCAGARCTGTTGCTCCTCTTCACCCTGTCAGTGTGGGTTCTGTGCCTGCTCCTGTCACACCCGCCCCCCAGTCTGTTTCTGCACTGAGTAGTTTCATGTCTTCTCCCTCCTGCCCTTTCATTTTTAATTTTGAGGGAAATTTTGTCTGGAATTCTCTCATTTCACTGCTCCCAGGTGTCTGGACAACATAAAGCATAAAGGTGAGGTAGCAGGAGGTGCAGGAAGAGAGTTTGCTGTTCATGTAGCTCATCCAGCTGTTAGCTCTGATGAAACAACAAAAAATGTAAATCCTTTCTAATCATACAGATTTTGGGGGGCTTTAATGCCTCTTAGTTTTAGTATCTCTCCAAAAGATTGAATTTAGGCTCACAGTGAGCTGCATGTGGTGTTTTGTTCTAGTAAGAGCAGCACAAGATCTTCCTGATTAGGTTTAAATATCTGGGTCACTTCCCRTTACCTGTGTTAATTCCCTGCTCAGTTTTGATATTGGGAGAGGAGGAGATAAAAGAAATCTGTGAGGAAAGATCAAACTAAAGCTGGAGCTACTCCAGACACAGGTCTTGTGCTAAATGGGTTTGTGGATGAGCCTTTCCTGACAGTTTTGGATCATGTTTGTGTGTGCAAACAAGATTCCTTCTGTTTTCCACCCGCACTGGGATAGTGGGTCCAAAAGCCAAGCTGGACAGAGTTTCTGTTTCTCAAATAATCAGCATTGATTTGCAGGTATAAATCGTTTCTTCAAGCTTTTAAAGCTGATAAACAGCAGGGGCAACTCCTGGGTTTCTGTGGCTGTAGATTTTATTCACTTGGTTATGAGGGTTGCCTGTCAAACTGGGTTCATTCCTTTTCCTATACCAGATTTTCAAAGCTGGGGAGCAGGAACAGGAAATGGATATCTCAGAAAAGGATAGCCAGTTGGGGGCTGGTCTCTGCTCYCAGGTAACAAGGCATAGGACAAGAGGAARCATCCTCAAGCTGTGCCAGGGAAGGTTTGGGTTGGATATTGGGAAAATWTCTCWTGGAAAGGACTCCATRGCTGAAGTGTGTCAGTGTGCCTTCATCTCAAACCTTCCCTTCTAAAAACATTCCCTGTTTTTCTCCCTGGAGATGTCTGCATTCTTTYATCCCTGCTTAACAAGTTGTTGGCTGGGAATGTGGCACCTCTRTGGATTTGGTTGTTATCACGAGTTTTTGAGGTCTCTGCAGAGCAGAAGCAGTTTGGACAGCCAGAGCTCCAGTGCCTGGACTCTCCAGATAAGAAAACGAAGGAAAATCAGAAGTCTAGGATAAGAAATGCTTTCTTGAGTCCGTGTCTTATCCAGAGAGACCACATTTCAGTGCACTTCAAAGTGCTGTTARAAAGACCTGGCCCCCAGAAATTCATAAACATGACGGGCATTTARACTGATGCTTCATCTCTTAAAACTTGTCAGGTTTCTGCCTTTGCTCTTTGCACTGAAGAGTTGTTACAAATTTCCCTCTGAGAGATTGCCTTCTAATCTCTATCCTAAAATTAATCATGGTGCTTTCTCCTCCATGCCAGCTGTGTCCTTCACYAGCAGAGATCTTCGTCTTCCTCGTTGTTTTGCCTGCTTTTTCTAGAACTGACCTAATTACTAGATTCCTCTGTTACTGCTTCTCTAACCAAGGTCACTTTGCTTCCTTGATTGCTGCAGTTCCATCCAGGAATGGTGAATTCAAACTGGGAATGCAGCAGGGGGGAGAAGACCTTCAGAGATGAGGCTTTGCCACTGTTTTACCCAAGATTGTTGAACACAGCTGTCTCTCATGGAATGGCTTTGCCTGGTAAATCACAGGATCATGGAATGGTTTGGGTTGGAAGRGACCTTAAAGTTCMTCCCATTCCACCCCCTGCCATGGCAGGGACACCTTCCAYGAKCCCAGGTGGCTTCAAGCCCCATCCAAGCTGACCTTGGGCACTTCCAGGGATGGGGCAGCCACAGCTGCTCTGGGCAACCTGTGCCAGGGCCTCCCCACTGTCCCAGGATCCCGGGATCTCCTTTGTGTCTCCTCAGAGCTGTGTCCTGCTGGGGTTTAGGACACAGTAACATGACCAAGTCACCTTGTCCCCTCTCGCCAGGATGTGGTGTCAGAGGCTGGCGTGGCTGCTCCGGGGGCCGTGCCGGCAGCGTGGGATCACCGGACGTCGCTGGTCGTGGCTGCCCCAGGACCCTGKGCCCATCCTGGCCACCCCGGTGCGCTGCCACCCCACAGCCACAGAGTCAGCCCAGTGTGTGTGGCAGCTGCACCGGGACCATCTCGGTAGGTGTGCTGGGTACAGGTGTTTCTGCTCTGCACGGGGACAACAGTGAGGGTTTCCAGCCCTTGCTCCCTGCCAGTGGTGTAGTTTTTCCTTCTGAAGGAACCTGCTTTAGGGGAATGCACGCWGGATCTCTTTCACATTCCCTTTGGGAATTCCCAGAGGCAGGACGGAACAGCCTTGTCTGCTGGTGGCAAGTCTTCTAAGATAACCGAGGYAGTGCTAAAGCAGAAATCAAATCCAGGGATTCCTGAACAAGAGCTGTGTCTGAGCCTTGCCCTGTCAGGTACCATGTTCCTCAGGCTCTCCCTGGTCGAGCCCTCCTCGGCTCTGGGGTGTGCCCACCTCTCCTGCTCCACCCTGTGCAGGTTTTCCTGGGTGATGGCAGCTGAGGCCAGTGAGACCTCAGTACTCCAAGTCACTTGCAAGCAAAGGGAATTGCTCAGCATTTTGCACAGTGGCTCCAAGCAAAGGATATTGTTTTTTGCCGACTACAAAGTGACCTTAGATGCCCAGATTTCAAAGCTGAGTGGGACTAGAGCAGGAGGAGCTCTTGCATTACCTGTACTGGCTCTGACCCCCTTCTGAAGGGCTTTGAGTATTTTGAGWATTCCTGAGCTGTCCCAGGATGGAGCAAGGAGGGCCTTTACTGATTTTTTGCTTGACTCTTCTCCGCAGTCCTGTGCAGGGGCTCTACAAATCGGTGATACACGGCTCTGAATTTACCACTTGTTGAAGAGGTGATGGAGGGAGGTCTGGGACCAGCGTGTGTGAGCTGTGCTCCTTCCCACTGCAGGATGGGATGTTGCAGTTTAGTGGCTTCTCACTGCCAGAGGGAGGGATGGATGGGATACTGGGAAGAAATCCTTCCCCRTGGGGGTRGTGAGGCCCTGGCACAGGTTGCCCAGGGAAGCTGTGGCTGCTTCTGGATCCCTGGAACTGTCCAAGGCCAGGTTGGATGGGTCTTGGAGCAGCCTCAGCTTGTGAAAGATGTCCTTGTTCATGGTAGGGGGTGGGACTGGRTGAGTTTCTGACCAAGACTAGTGTAGGATGGTCCTATGAGATCTCTTGTAGCCTTGGTAAGAAGGGGGGTGGTGAGATCACTGTCAGTCAGGCCTTGGATAWGATGTTTTGCCAGGTATTCTTTATGTGATGATTTATGGCAAGGAGTACCACTGCATCCCCTGTAAATGGGATGATAAGGTGTGGTCTCTGCGCTTCGGTTCTTGGCTCTGTTTGTCTTCCCTGTTCCCCCAAAGCATCCTCTGCTCCCTTCCTTTGCAGAGCTCAGGTATGGGAACACCCTGATGCGCCTGGATTTCGTGTGGCTGCGGGACCACTGCCGCTCCGCCTCCTGCTACAACGCCAAGACCAACCAGCGCAGCCTGGACACGGCCAGCGTGGACCTGGCCATCCGGCCCCAGGCTGTCCGGGTGGATGAGACCACGCTCTTCCTCACTTGTGAGTAACTGAGCACCTGTGCCCTCCTTTTCTGGAGGGAGCCTGCTTGGTGGGTGCCACTCTGCTGGGAGAGGGCAGCATTGTYCCCACATCTGGCTGGCTGGGAAGACGCTGAGCTGTAAGCACGTTTTAAACGCTGCTCTGACTGTAAATATACCTCAGCCTCAAATAGGTGTGGTTTTCTTCCCCCAGCCCCTTTTGTGTGTGTGCAGTGTCTGGTTTGGTCAAACACCCACAGCAGTACAGGTAGTAAGCAGATGGGGCACGACACAGTTGGTTCTCTTTTCCTTGCCCATCCTGTCTGAGCTGCCATCCCCACTCACAATGCCCGTTTTCCATCCTTTCTGCTCATTTTCCCAGCTGCTTTCTTCCTTTTGGTGGAGCTTACCTTTGTTCAAGGGTTTGACTTCAGAGCTTTGCTACTCCTTGGAGCCAACAGAAACCAAAACCACTGAGCTAGGTGTACTTAGCTGGGAATTTGGAGGGGGTTGCAGCAGTCGCCCCAAACTGGGAGGGAGTTGCAGCCACCCTGAATTTGGAGTTGTGGCAACAATGACAGCATTTTAGGACTTCTGGCCTTACAAATGGCCAGAAGTGGCACCAGGGTGCAAAGAGCCCATCCCCAGACAGGTGACAAGGGTGAGGCCTGTCCTGAGCTGACAGGTGCCACGATCTGGTGCTGCTCAGTGGGATTTTGGTGACCATGCCCTTATCCCTGTGCCAGGGCCGGATGGACACGTGACACGGTACGGGCTGGAGTGGCTGGTGAAGAACAGCTACGAGGGGCAGAAGCAGCAGGTCATGCACCCCCGGATCCTCTGGAATGCTGACATCTACCGGCAAGCCCAGGTCCCCTCTGTCGACTGCCGGAGCTTCCTGGAGACGGACGCGGGGCTGAAGGAATTCTTGCAGAACTTCTTGTTGTATGGGATTGCTTTTGTGGAGAATGTCACTCCCACCAAAGAGGACACGGAAATCTTGGCAGAGAGGATCAGCATAATCAGGTATCTGGACTATCCTGGAAGGATAAACTTGTTTTCTTATTGTTTGAAGGGTGCTGCCTCCTTATCCTGTATATTGTGTGGCATGGCCTGGTTTGCAGACAAATGTACTTCTACAGCCTCTGGCTGCTCCACTTTGACCTGGGATGGAGGATCCCRCTGTGGGATCCACCCTCCTTTATGGGACAGCTGGGAGTCACTCGGTTATTGAGCTGCCCCCGGAGCATCTGATGACTTTTGTGATAGTGGGGCTGTGCAGAGAGGAGGGACTGAAGGAAGTGGGTGTCTGGGAAGRACAGAGCTTTGCAAGGAGAGACATTTCCTGTTATGACTTGAGGGGTCGGGAGGGCAGCCTGTCCCTGAGAGCCAGGGACATCAAAAACCAGTTGGAACTCTCGCTAAAGAAAGATAGTGAGAGGTCTTTGGGCTGTGTTTGTGTAAAACACCAGCAGCATGGCATGCCTGGGGCTGAGTTAGGGGTTTTTCCCAAGCTGTAGAAACAGTTTGATTTGCCTGGGGCCATTGGAAAAGGAGGGATTCTTTTTATTGAATAGTCACTCCAAATAGAAATGAGACTCCAGGGAATATCCAGCCAACTTCTGTCTCCAGGCACCCTCTCCCTATAGCCCCTGAGTGCTGTTTGTCCTTGCCTGCTGTCCTTTTCTTACTGTGTGTGTTGAGGGGGGAGGCAGTGAAAACAGGACTCTAGGAAGAAGTGGAATTATTAGGCAACCCTGTGTGAATGTAAGTAAGGGCTGGCTGCATTCAGGCAACTCCTCATGTCATTTGCAKGGTTGGGGATGATGGTTGGTGTGGAATCATCAGTATTTGTGGGGGAGAAGACTCATCACCAGCCTTTTGGGGAGGAAGAAGAGGAGTTGAGCACCAGAAGAGGGATTGGAAGCACCGTGCTGACAGTGTGAATTTTATGAAGTTGTTGTTCTTTAGTGACTCTGTATATGGAACAGAGGGGAWTAACTCAAATGCAGGGGAGGGTATGCCTTATCCAGACACTGATCCATGATAACTGCCCATCTCTCATCTGTCCCAGGGAGACCATTTATGGCAGGATGTGGTACTTCACCTCCGACTTCTCGCGGGGAGACACMGCCTACACCAAGCTGGCCCTGGATCGGCACACGGACACCACCTACTTCCAGGAGCCCTGTGGGTACGTGCTGCTGCTGCTGCTGCCCAGACATGGGGGGCATGAGCAGGAGGGAACCACAGCAATGCCTTTCCCACCAGCACAAGCTGCATTGTCTCCAGAGYTGCAGTGGCATGTACTGCAGCAACTCTAGGGCCCGTCTGATTATAGAATTCCAGAATAGTTTGTGTAGGAGGGACCTTAGAGCCCATCCAGTCCYATCCCCTGCAATRGCAGGGGAACTTCTGCTATCCCGGGTTCAGCCTGGCCTTGGACACTGCCAGGGATCCAGGGGCAGCCACAGCTATTCTGGGCACCCTGTGCCAGGGCCTCACCAGTCTCATTGGGAACAATTCCTTCCCAATATCCCATCTAACCATGCCCTCCTTCAGCCCAAGGTAATTCCCCCTTGTCCCACCACTGCATGCCCTTCTGTGATTCCTATGGAGTGAGTTGGTCTGTGAATCACTCTTCTTGTGCTTGGAATTTCTGRGTCTCCCACAATGCAGGCAGGGAAGCACTTTGCTCTTGGGGAGCTGCTGCTGCTGGGTGTTGCTGGGGTTCAAAGAGCTTTGCAGCCACACTGGGGGCTCAGGGCTGGAACATTTTGGACCTTTGAACTCCCCCTCCTCWGTCTCCCAGGTACCACACATCTTCCCACCTCACAGAAAAGAGCCATGGATTTTACTTCTATAGGAGGTAGCTGGGAAAGCCCAGCTGCTCCTGCAGCCAGTGCCCCTCAGCAGCAGCTGGATAGARCTGCTGCAGGAGTTTGCTTTCACTTAATCCTGTCTCTGGTGGCTGAGCTTTGCCAGCTGTATCCTCTGGGAAAGTGAGGAGAGTAGCTGTGTCTTTGAGAAAGGAGGGGGAGCACAGCCTATGGTGCTCTGGCAGTGYCTGAGCTCCAGTTCAGCCAGGCTGATTTGTGGTAGGCAGTGCTGCAGCCCTGCAGGTACTCGGGATCCAGGCTTTCCCAGTCCTTCCCCATTCACCCCTGTCTGGACTTTGGAAAGCACTTGATAGCTGCATCATTCAGTCCYAGATGTTCCCTCTCATACAGCCTCTGTGCTGTTTTATCCACAGCTGGATAGGCTGGAAAAGGAAGGCAGAAGCTCTGGTCCCTGGTTCACAGGGAAGTGCTGAAGACCACCCAGAGCAGCTGTGGTTCTGCCATCCCAGGAAGWGTCCAAGGCCAAGTTGGACAGGGCTTGGAGCATCCTGGGATAGTGGAAGGTATCCCTGCTCATGGCAGGGGTGGAACAAGATGGGCTGGAATGTCCCTTCCAAGTCAAACCACTCTGGGATTCTGGGATTCTATGATTTAGATTCACTTTCTAGTTTAGTTTTCTTTTGTCTGCTTTCATCTCTGCCGAGAGTGGAATCATCAGRAAGTGGCCTTAGAGAATGAGTGGAAGCTCTGTGATCCGGAGTGGAAGCAGGGGTACAAAGCATCAGCCCACACCTACTGCCCCAGGGCARGGTTAGCTATTCCCAAAGGAGTCTGTGAGCTTGTGAACATGTCTATGGGAAAGGAGCTGGAAGACCAGGGGAGAAAGGAGGTCTGAGATCCTTAGTGGGTTTCAGAGCAGCCCTTCAGTCCGGGAAGGGTGGAATTACCTGGGTAAACCCTGGCTGTGCCCAGCCATGCAGGAAGTTTGGGTGGTAGGGTTTATCCTCAGGAGCAAAGGGTTCATTGTGCCCTGTGGAGCTGGAACTGCTCCACACTTSCCGCCAGATCAAATTTGTTTCCCTGCTCCCAGTGAGCAGCTACCTGCAGGACCCATGTGCTTTCATGACCTTCCTGCTTGACTGGCTTGTTTTAGGAGCTCACAAAATCATTCCCAAAATCCACGAAGTAAGGAGTGATCAGAACTTCTGCCTACTGAAGAGCTTTGATTTCTCTGCTCAGTGCCATAATCCAGAGCTGTTTTCACACCTTTCTTTTCCACTTGGAAAAGTTCCCTTCAGGTGTTATCTCACGCAGTTACAGCACAGCCTGAATGAGCAGGGCTGGCCAGTAATGCCTGATATTCTGTAAAATGCCTGCAGTTCTATAGTAAAACCAGGAATTTCTGGCTTTCCCATCTAAAGGACAGAGGTTAGAAACTCCCCAGGTTGTGGGGAGTCTGCAGCATTTCTCAGTGATCAGGTTCCCTGGAGGCTTTCCCAGTGCTCCAAGCTGCTCCAGGAGCTGGTTGCCCCAAGGCTCGGAGTATCCTTTGCTCTAGTGCTCCTGGCCTGACTGTCTCTCTGAAGGTGGTGTGGGTAGAAGGTGAAGAGAGCACCCAGGTGGAAAGGTGAGGGTGGGGTGGCAGATCCTGCCACATCACCTGCCCTGGGACTGGGAGAACAGGCCCCAAAGGAGATGGGAAGATAAAGGCTTTCCCAGAAGGTCACAATTAATTTTCTAACAAGTGWAGTTGGTGAAAATTGGAAGTARGTGGTTGGAGGCRGCTGCYGAGTGTTTGTTCCTGGCAGTGCAAYACCTGCCTTGYTTGGATGAAGGAAAAGAGAAGCTTTAGAGAAGTAGTAGGACAAAAGCAGAGCTGGGTGGCTTCTCACTAGGGAGGGGATGTTCTGTAGGTCAGCTCCTCACTGCTGGGATTCCTCTGCTGCAGGCTTTCCAAAGGGAGCCCTGAGGAATTCTCCTGCCTGCTTGTGGGAGACCATGACTTACCCTTCTTTGCGTGAGGCTCCCCTCTTAGTTCTGGGAGACCTCAGCAGTACATCCTGAATTTTTTAACTGTCCTTTTATTCTGAGCTCTTCTAGGGAAGTTAGTTTTACAAGCAGCTTTTGAACTGCTGTCCTGCTGCCTGGATGAACTTAGGATAGTATCATGGACTCACAGGAGGATTGGGGTGGGAAGGGACCTTAAAGGTCATCCCATTMCACCCCCTGCCACRGGCAGGGACRCCTTCCACTGTCCCAGGTTGCTTCAAGCCCTGTCCAACCTGGCCTTGGACATTTCCAGGGGTGGGGCAGCCACAGCCTCTTTGGGTGGTGTTTTGACTTTGGGTGACACAGGCTTGATCCTGCAGCACCTGCAGTCTCCCAGGGTTTGGGAAGCAGCACAGGCAGTCTGCTGCCTGCTCTCCCAGCCAAACCTGCGGGATTGRGCCTGGAGAAATGGCAAGTGCATCCATCCACTGCTGTCTGTGTCCTTGCAGAGCTCTTGTGGTCAGGGGACAGGCAGCCAAGGTGGTTCCTCTCGGGTTCTGTTTCCTGAGCAGCATCCAGGTGTTCCACTGCCTGAAGCACGAGGGCACGGGCGGGCGGACGCTGCTGGTGGATGGGTTCCACGCAGCCGAGCAGGTGCTGCGCCAGGCCCCGGAGCACTTCCAGCTGCTCACCAAGGTGCCCCTCAAACACGAGTACGTGGAGAACGTGGGCGGCTGCCACAACCACATGATCGGAGTGGGACCGGTGCTCAACGTCTACCCCTGGAACAATGAGCTTTATCTCATCAGGTAATGCCAACAGAAGGCCTCTGGGGAGGGGAGGAGAGGTCGTTGTGGTGGTGGTTTGCCAGACTATTCCAGTGTAATTGTGAGGAGCAGGGATGAAGCCACAYGCTGTGTTCCTCCCACTTTAAAGGAAGCATCAGCTGATACAAAAATGGGGGTCAACGTGAACTTTAATTTTTCACTCCTGGCATCCTCCCTTCAGTTCCAGTCCCTCACCTCGTTCCATTTGAGACACAGGAGAATCCAGCCCTTCTCTGTAGAAGCCCCTAGAAAGCATCCTGGCATGCAGGGAACAGGGAGAGTGCAGTGATCCCCTCCAAAGGGAATTTGGACTAATTTTTGAAACTCCAGTTTGGCTCCGTTCTGGAGGTTGTCCAGCACTGCTTTGCACTGGGGGTTGTTTAACACAATCCTCAGTCTCATCAAGTCCTTCCATGGAAAACCAGGAAGAACAGTTTTACACTTGCTAGTGAACTCCTCTTGCTCCCAGTGTTGTGTTCCCAGAAGTCCTGTGCTGGCAGCACARCCCCTCTGGTCACCTCTGCAGCCTRCCTTAAATACCAGCTAATCCCACAGACTGCTGAGGTTCCCTTGGAAGCACCTGGAGCCACCTTGGRCAATCTCTTGTCTCTCCTCTCGCTGCAGGTACAACAACTACGACCGTGCCGTGATCAACACGGTTCCCCATGACGTGGTGCGCCGCTGGTACCACGCACACCGCGCCCTCACCGCCGAGCTCCGCCGGCCCGACAACGAGCTCTGGGTCAAGCTGAAACCCGGCAAGGTGGGACCTGCAGCTGTACCCTCTGGGAATGCTCCGGGGTAGGACTTGGAGCTGGGGGTTTGACACAGGGAGAGGGGCAGGGCACTCTGGGTGTGCCAGTGACTGGGCACTGCCATTTCCAGCAGTTTTCCTCTTTCTGGCTGCTTTAAGGTTACAGTAGTGGCCTCTGGGTGTGTGTTTTCCTGCTGTCCTAAAGGAATATGAGCTTCCAGGTAAGGCAGAGGTGTGTTAGTTCAAGCTGTATCTGAGATGAAAGYTGGTCCCAATTTCTGACCACTGAAATGAGGATCCTCGGGAGCAGAGAGGCTGAGCACTTAATGTTCCATCTTTCACTTCTCCCTCAAGAAATGACAGTTYTGTATTTGAGTTCTTAAATGGGTGACACTACAGAGGCAGGAGCTTGGGGCTGCCCCATCCATGGAAGTGTTCAAATCTAGRTTGGAYRGGGCTTGGAGCATCCTGGTGGRAGGTGTCCCTGCCCATGGCAGGGGGTGGAACAAGATGGGCTTTAAGGTCCCTTCCAACCCAAGTATTCTGGGATTATGTGGTAAGATGGCCACTCTCTACTGTTGGTGAACCATTTCCTCTGCAGTACAAAATGGAATAAACAGGTGAAAATGTGTTTCTGGGCTGGTTCCAGCTGCACGAGCTGTGCTGGATCCCATGGAACACCTGGCTGTAGCCTCACCTGTGCCAGTGTCAAACAAGGAGTGTCATGCCCACCGTGGCACACCCTTACCTGCTCTCCTAGTCTCCAGGGATGCCCAGGACCTGCACTGCCGTAGCCTCCTGGCCCTGCCTGCCGTGTCTGCGCTCCTCCTGATGACCTTTTCCCTTTCCTGCAGGCCCTSTTTGTGGATAACTGGCGCGTYCTGCATGGCCGGGAAGCATTCACRGGRTACCGGCAGCTTTGTGGGTGTTACCTGACAAGGGACGACGTGCTGAACACTGCCCGCCTGCTGGGGCTCCAGGCCTAGCCCAGCAAAGAGCAAGGCAGCCCCCAGTGCCACCTCTGGGAGAGGCTGGCAGCCTGCAGTCCCACTTGTGGGAGAAGCTAGCAGACCCCAATCCTATCTCTGGGGAGAGTCTGGCAGCCCTCCCAGTCCCACCTGTGTGAGAGGCAGGAGGCAGGAGCCCTGCAATCCCAGTTCTGGGAGAGGCAGGAGCCCTCCAGTCCCCCCTCCCCACCAGGCCAGGTGAGCTGGTACCTCCCCCTGTACTCCAGGCCCTCCATGCTGGTGCCTCACGTGACAATGACACTGCACTTACCTCAGACACCMGCCCCTCTCCCAGCACCTGCAGGGCCTGCCCAGGGCAGGGAGAGGGAGCAGGTGGAAGCCAAAGGTTGTGGGACCATTTCTTGGGAGCACACTGTGCCGTAGAGCGCAGTCAGCTCTTGCTGTCYGTGCTCCCAGCCTGCTCCTCCCAGCCAGCGTGGCTCAGCTGTGGTTAATCCCACCACGGGAAGTGCTCCTCCAAGCAAGTGCCTTCAGCATTTGGAAACTTTGCATTATTCCCTGTTTGGCCTTATTTTCAGCTGCCAGTTTTCAGGTTTTTTTAGCAGACCAGAATAGAAATCTCTGGGATCTTGTCTGATCCAAGCCAAGCTACCTGAGAGAGGGCCTGCGGAGATCCTGGTGTACTTTTGGCATTCCTGAGAAAGTTTAGGTTAGAGAAGGAAAAGGGAAGCAGCAAGATCTRAATGCTGGGCAGCAGAGATGACCATGTCAGGTGAGGGATGGAATTCCCACTTTCCCCTTCAGTGCTGCCATGCTGGTGTTCCCTCTGCCTGTTGAACGGTGCTTGTGTTGAGGGCATCACACAGCAGCCACAGCATTTGCTGACAAACTTCCCACTGTGCCTCCTCTTCCATCCTTCCTTAAGGAACTASTATTAGGTCATCCTCACACTCTCTGCTGCATGAACCTCACTCTTTGGGTTTATTTTTTCCCAGAATTGTACTCTCAATGTAACTCAGAGGTGCCTTTCATCTGGGAGCTGGGAAAGTAAACTGGGATCTGGCACACCGAAGTGCCATAGGGTGAGGAACAAAAGCAAATCCTGCTGTTACGGAGTTTTTCATTCTGTCCTATCTTTTGCGGTGTTCCTCTACTCTGACCAGACCTTAAAGCAGGGCTGGCTTCACCCCTGGCTTTGCTGTGWGAGGTGCTCCATGTCCTCAGGTAGGGGCAGTTCAGGTACACAGGTGCTGAACTTGCTGTCCTTGTTTAATCCAAACACTGAATGTAGAAATCATGGTGTCAAAATAGCCCTGAAATCTGCCTTTGCTGTGGACTGAGCTCCCTGATGTTCCCAGTCAATTCCCTTCCCAGTGCTTCCCATCCTAGGTGAGTCCCTAGGAGTCAGCAGGGCTCAGGGATTTCTGAGCCAAGGCTGGGCAAGCAGTGCTAGGTGAGCTGCCCTCTGTCAGGTACAGMTCCTGATCAGCCTTGGATCCAGGCAGGAGCCTGGATTTTCCTCTGGGCAGAGCCAGTTGTGCCAATTTTAAAACTGGGTGGGAAAATTCATCCCCCTCAAGCYACCCCCTTTTCATCACGGAGGAAAATACTAGGAAAGAGTTTTAAGTCAGAGTCACAATTTACTGAAGAAATTGCAATGATCACAACAATATTAATAAAAGATTGTACAAAAAGAGAATGGTTTGCCCACAAAAAGGGTATTTATCATGAAAAGGTGTCACCAGACCCCTGGGACAAAGGTGAGAGGTGTCTGTGGTGGCAGTGATGTGGTCCAGGTGGCAGCTGGGACCTGCGGGGAGTCTCCCTCTGGAGTGAGCCCAGCAAAAGGAAGAGGATCCCTCCTCTTCCACCTCCAGTTGTTGAAGGGGACAAAGCCACTCTCTTCCACAACTTAGGAAAGGAAAAATCGTTCTGCTTGCAGTGTCTCAGCATTCCCTGCTGGAAACCACCCTCCTCCTCCCATTGTGACATTGGGTGGTGTGGAATAAAGCTTTGCAACTCTGCCCCTTATCCCTGTGCCCAGGACTTTTCCCACCCCTTATTCTGTATGTGTACCTCGTGCCCAGATTTTGCACCTCTCTGCAGTGTCCCTACACCTCTGCGTGCACAAAACCCTGCACAGGCATGGGTGGTGGTTTGGCAGTCACTGGCCATCCCCCAGTTGAGTTTGTTTAGTCTATGACTGGTGCAGCTGGAGCARTCCGTTCTCATTGTCTGTGGGAGTTAGGGCTCACAGTGACAGTGCTGTTCAGCCACCATTATTGTGTGTGCAATTCAACATTCCAGGCTGTTCTCACCAGAAATCCAGCTCCCTGGAGGGACATTGTGTTTCCCTGCCCTTCTGCATCTCCCACCRAKTGCACACARCTCCTTGAACAAAAACAGCCCCTGGGATAGGTTTGCCTTTGAGGCAGGACTARTCCAAACTCCTCATATGCACCACAGGGACTTTTATCTCCTTCAGAGGTACATGGAGGTTTGGACTGGGTGGGGCCAGCTCAAATGGTGKAGCCCTGGGTGTTCACTGACCAGCTGGCCTTTGCTAAATGCAGCTGCCACTGTTTGAAGGTCTCCCAACCCGATGCTTTCCAGGTGTCCCCTAGTTCAGCTTTCCCAGGGCTGGTGCCTGACAGGGAATATCAAACATCCACTCGATCCCATCTGTGCCCCAGATGTCCCTGAGGCTGTTTATGAAATGTGTCCCATTGGCTGACTGAGTTCTTTCAGCGCTGCCATGTCTGCACAGGGCTTGCTTTCCCAGGCCTAGGACAGTGTTGTGGGCAGTGCTGTGAGGCACAGGGTATGTCTGCAGCCATCCACTCGTGCCTTCTGCCATGGTCAGCACGTAACRCTTGCCTTGGTGGATCTGCAGCATTGTTATGTCAGCACTTTTCCCAGAGTCTCCCCATGTTTGTATCTCCACCATCATCCCCCACACCCCCTGCAGAGGCTTTACTTGTCCTGCTGAGATCAATCTCAGCACGTGTTCTAGAGTAATGGATAAATTGGGAAATGGTGTCCATGGCTAAATCCACCCCTCGGTCACAAGGCCATGTTGCATCTCCTAATGCCCTGAGGTGTCCTGGGCCTAATGAGTTAGAAATTAACTCACCCTTGTGTTGCCAGTCCAGACCCACCTGTGCCATTCCAATCTTACCAGCCCCATCCACCCCTTTGTTTCTGTGATGCTCTCATTGTCTGACCCTGGGCACCCAGTGGAGTTCCACGGTCAGTTTATCCGCTCAAGCACACCCCTGGGCAGCCCAGGCAAGTTTCCCTCAGCGCTGACAATCRGCCTTTCTCCACCATGCCAGCAACTCCCAAGAGCGCTTACTCCCCTCCATGAGCCAGTGTAGAGGGAGCGGGTTGGATGGGCATTTCTCTTGCTCAGTGATATGCAAACCCAGCTGGAAGCTCTCAAGGATCCACCTTGTCCCCCGGTAGCTCCTGCCCCTCACCTTGTAGGGCTGCATATRGCAGCTTTCCATGGTCAGCGTGTCCCTGCACCAGGGCAGTAACCATCCATGAGGAGATCGGTCACTATTAGTCTTCTGGGAGCTGGTTATRTGGCAGGGCCTCCTCTGCACACATCACTTTTCTTCCTCTGATAATGATAATAATCCAAGATTTTTGCCTTCAGGCTAGTTGGTAATGACATCCAAGATCCCTGACCTGGGATTTCCTGTATGAGCTTGCAGTGTGATCAGAGCAATCCACTTGCTGCACATGGCATTGGTGCCWCGTGTGGAAGGGATTTTCYCTTTGAACATCCAGCCCAGCACTGGCAGTCAGGGTGCCARGAGAATTCAGTGCCAATCACTTCTGAGGCAGCTCCARCCCCTTCATAAGCTGCCAGGATCTCTTTTTCAGCTGGGGTGCAACAGGCCTCATGCTCTGTATCCTCAGATCCAGGACCCCAGGGGTCATCCTTGAGTYTCTTCAGAGGCTCCAGGACCTGTTGGAGCTCCAGTGTGAGCTGGACTCAAAGGCACTGAGTGGTGCCACAGTTGATACTGCCACAAACCAAAGTAAAGTCGAGGCACCTGCATAGGAGATCCAACTTTTAGGAATWAAATGGCAAGATGGACATCATCAGATCCCAATGGATGTTATTAATCAGACAAGAGCRATGTCTCYACCAACTAATAAGAAAGAAACACAAGCCCTKTGAGGTGTGGGATTTTGGAGAACGCACATTCCAAATTACAGTTGGGTGGTCAGCCCTCTGTCCAGTGAGCTGGAAGAATGATTTCAAAGGGGGCCCTGAGCAGTGACAGTTCCTTCTGTAGCACTCAGGCCAGCCCAGGCAGGGCAAGATGTAAACAATGTTATTTATAGCGCACTGGGCAGAATGGTCCTACCTGGAGCCTCCAGCAGGAAGCACCAGGGGACAACCAGGTTTCTGGAGTCAGGGATACAGAGAATCTGAGGCCTGCTGTGTTCCAACTGAAAAGGAGATTCTGGAGCTTGTGAACATCTCCAAGGCACTTCAGAGGTGATTGGTACCAAAGCCAGCTCCTCCTGGCACTCTGGGTTATCTGTCTTGGGTTGGGTGTTCAA